TAGGCGGTGGTCATTGTGTGGCCAGGGGTGGGGTAGATGTCCAAGGACCGGATTCAGGGACGAGAAACTGCCAGCAGCGCCAGGAGAGAGCGGGGCTGGGGCCAGGACGTGGCTCAGGAGCTGCACACAGGCCTGCTGCCCAGGAAGGCGGGAGGCAAGACAGGGTGCCCTTTGTTCCCGCTCCCCCGTGTCAGGGGCACGGTCTCGGGAGGGTGCCGCCAGGAGGAGCGGCGTGGAGACCGGCTCACCGGCACCGCAGGCCCGGCTGTGGAGCCCGAGTGCTGCCGGCTGGTGGCAGGGCTGCTTTGGGGACAGCAGCCTGAAGCTCAGAAGCCAGGTCTGCCTGCTCCGTTCAGAAAAGCCTGCAGCCGGGCGGACCAGGAGGCGCCCGGGGACGGGAGGCTTACCTGGGCTCTCCTGGCGGGAAGGAGCATCAGCCCAGAGCTCTGGGATCTGCTCCTGCCCTCCTGATGTGGGGGGGGGGGGGGGGGGTGTCTCTGGAGCAGCGATGGCCACGGCATCCCCACGCCCTGCCCCCGCGTGGCTGCTCACCTGTCACCTTTATCGATGCCACTGGGGACACGCACACCCAGAATGGCCGATCTCAGCATCACATAGTCACGGAGGTCTGAGGGGATGAAGATGTAGCGCAGGTCCTGTCGGGACAACAGGGACACGGAGCTCGGGTGGGAACCAGGCCACGTCTAGGTCCTGCTCGGAAGGGACAGCCCTCCACCCAGTCCTGCCCCGACAGGCGCTCTCTCAGCCCGGCAGTGCCCTGCTCAGGAACTGGTGGGTGCGGCCCGTGCTCTCGAATCCGGTGGTGCCCTTCCCTCCAGAGGCGCAGCTCACTCGCCATCCCGAGGACGGCCGGCTTAGTGCCGAGGAGCCGAGTGTTTCTAATGAGTAGGAAACCCTGGGGTGGCGGTGAGATCAGGCCGTGGAAGGCACTGCCTCCCTCCTCTGGGGTCACTGTCATGAGGACGCCAGCAGCCACAGAGGGGCCCGTGCGTCAAGGGCCTTCCTTCCGATGACTGCAGCCACCTGAGAGGCCCTGAGCCCAAACCACTTTGCTAAGCTGCTTCCAAATTCCTGACTCGTTGCAACTGTAAGATTATAAATGTGTGTGTTTAAAGCGTCTAATACCGGCTGGCGTGGCTCAGTGGTTGAGCGTGGGCCTATGAACCAGGAGGTCACGGTTTGATTCCCGGTCAGAGCAACATGCCCAGGCTGTAGGCTCCATCCCCAGCGGGGGGCGTGCAGGAGGCAGCCGATCCATGATGCTCTCTCATCACTGATGTTTCTGTCTCTCTCCCTCTCCCTTCCTCTCTGAAATCAATAAGAACCTATTAAAAAGTAAAGAAAGCAAGCTACTAAGTTTAGGGGGTGTTTTGTTACACAGCAGTGGGTAACTCATACAGGTACTGTGGCCACATCAGAAATGAAGCTACCCCACTTGGTTCTGTTACGAGCCAAGAGTTCTACTGTGAGACTTTGGGGCATAGACACTGGCTAGGACACTCCTTCATTTCCTTCTCAGAGGAGGAAGCTTCTAGAAACCCAACCCGGTCTATAGAGCATCACCGGACCCCTTATCCTGGGATCTCCCTAGCCCTGCACGGGGCACCCAGACCTTCTTGAGGGGAAGTGTCGTTCTAGAAACTGGGTGTGGCTGAAGGAAGCTGTGGGTAGCAGATGCTAGTTCCTCTGGGCATGTTCCTCAGTCTCGTTGAACCGCAGCTCCCTGCACAGGCTGCTGTGAGAATTCAGAAGGCACACCCCCTATTCTGGGGGTAGCATGGGAGACTGGGAACCCCAGGTCTGCGCCAGAGGGGCCTTGCACGGCTGCCAGCTGGAGATGGCTGCCCTGATGGCAAGGCCAGTGCTGGGAGCCGAGGAGCCCTGGAGGGGAGTCTGGGTTTGGACCCCAGTGCTTAGCCTCCTCACCAGGACAGTGGGCTGCGGGGCATATGGAGGTTGCTTGACACCCATCAGCTCTCACTAAATGTTCGCCATTCCCACCAGTCTAGAGCGGTGCAGTGCCACCTGAAGCAGCGGGGCATCCCTGCCCAGACCTCCTCCTCAGTAGCTCCCTCCCCGCGCCCAACGTCCTGGCACAGTCCCCACCAGTAGCCCGGGGCTCGGGAACCCTGGGCTTCCCCGTGGAGGGGCTCCGGGAACCGTGGCGCCCATCAGGCCTCACCTGTCCTCGCGGCACGGAGGTGAAGCCCGCTGTTCTGTAGGCGATGAGCGAGTTCTTCATCGTGTTCACAGTGAAACCGTAGAAGGAGGTCTTGGTGCCCACATCCTTCTCGAAGCCTTTGATCACAGCACCATTGAGTCTGGTCCAGACAGAGGCCCATTGGCCTGGCGGTCACCCCACCCTGTGTGCGACTCCCACCCCCAGGCCCTGCCACACCTGTCCCCAGCCGCATGGACCATTCCCTGTGCCCACAGCAGCACCAGCACCCACGCCCCCAGACCTCAGGGAAACTGTGCCACTGGCACATCTGTCCTGGGGCTTCCTTCCTCTCAGGCCCCGTGGCATGTCTGTCTGCACAGGCCTGTGTCCATGCCTGTCTGCCCGTAACAACTGCAGAGCCGACTGGGGCTGCTGCCCTGCCCACACCGTGGAAGATGCTCCCACGGGGGACAGCTCCTCTCCCCTCCTCCCTGCCCCTGCTCTTCCCCCCTCCTCCCTGCCCCTGCTCCTCTTCCCCCTTCCCTCTGCCTCTGCCCCTCCCCCCTCCTCCCTTCCCCTGCTCCTCCC